CAGGGGAGGCGAGGAGCGATGCGGAGGAAAGCGGCGAGCCCTCAAGCAGCTGCACCTGGGGTGTTTACTCGCTGCTTCTGCCTTCAGCCGTCTGCACCAAGAAAGGGGGAACGAGGGAGAGTGGCCGCCACTGCCTCGCGTGTCTTCAGGACCGACCGGCAGAGGGTCGCACTCGCTGTCCTGTGGGAAGGGTCGGGGCGTGCGCTTCTTCCCAGCTCGCACATCATGCGCAAGCAGCTCCTGACCCCGTGTTAAGTAAAAGTTCGTCAGAGGTGTAACGGTACGACTTTACCTAGTAGAATTTCTGCTTTTTTAGGCTTCCTTTAATCTTCCTTTTCTTCTGTTTGCTCAAGGATACTTACAAAAGTTTTATGAAAACAATGTTTTGTTTTAGGTCAAAAACTTTAAAAATGTTTTCCTAGCTCTAGCTTTTGCAGCCTCATATAGTCTCTCTTGAGGTATCTCGTGTTGATTTTGCTGGAACTGTGCAAACTCATGCTTTTGGACAGGGATAGTGTAGTAAAATCTCTGACTCAAAAAATTCCTCACAGGTGAGTGTCCCAGTTATGAGTGATGATTGAAAAACTATTAAAACTGAAAGCGAATGGAAGACTGGTAATTATTGGAACATTCCTGTGATTTCACCCTAGAAAGGAAACTTTCTGTTTCCCACGTATGTGCAAACTGCAGGTTTACATGCAGGTAAACTGCTGCAAAGTTTTGGAATGTTGCATGCTGTTAAGTAAAAACTTGCTCCTGGGCTCTGTCTTAACTCATTTAGTTTCATGAAATATCTCCTAGATAAGAGAAACATACATCACATGGTTAGTCAGAAATTATTCTCGAAGTTCATTAAATCTCATCTTGGGAATTTAAATGAACTCAAGTAAGTAAATTAAGTGCTGAGTTAATTAAGTTGTTAATTAGTTAATTAACTGTTATGGTTTTAAGTGATGCCATTATCAAAGTGACATAAATTCCAGTTTAATTTCCTATATGTAGAACGTCTTTATGAAACTGTAAAAGCTTGGGGGCTTAATTCTTTCCACACAGTTTTGCACCAAGTACTAAGATATTCATAACAGGGATTTTATTATTTAGTGGCAAGGGCAATTTTAAAAATAATTTAACTAATTACTATTTAAAATAAATTACTTTTCTCATTGTGTTACTTTATCTTGGAATAAAACTTCAGATGTATGAAAATGACGCAAGAAGGTGAAAATTTTGTAAAATTTTGTGTTTGGAAGAATTGTCCTCTTTCAGGGTGGGATCTTTTCTGATCACCAGAAAATATTAAACTTGTACATGCGGATATTGTGGGATTTTTTTTACTTTTTTTTGTGTTAAGCACTACATTGCATGACATTGTTGCTGTAGAAGGCTAAAAAATTCTGCATGTATCTTTTTTTGGCCCTGTTTAATACTATACTATATAATATTTACTCAGGAATTTGTACCTAAGTCTGTCCTGTTCACATGCCTTTGGTTTTTTTCACAAATAATTGATGAGGAAGAGAGGATCTTAAAGGAAAGACAACTTGGCCTGCCTTAAAGCACTCATTTAGGTCACTCAGTTGTTGCCAAGTTATTGTAATTGTGTGTCCTGTTTTTACTAATAAAGGCAAAAGGGTGGCTAAGAAATACAGAATTAAAGATATCTAACTTTATCTTCTTACTTCAGGAAATAAGAAGTATCCCACAAGTGTCAGTGTCATAGCTGAGTCTGTGGAGATGCCACAGAGACCTAGAAGGCTTAATTTGGTTAAAACCACAGTGCAGTCAGTATTTTAATGCAAAGAATATGGATGCAACTTCTGGGTAGGAAGCCTCATTTAGTTTTTTCTAGCATGCTTCCACAGAGCTCCTTACAGATAGCTTGACAGCTAGCTCTTACAGTGATGGAAACATGAAGAAGGTTTTGGAATAATTAATATGCGAAGAAGGTTTTGAAGAATCCTTGATGCTGCCAGTGTATTTTATTTAAATTTATTTTATATCTAGTTATATACATTGAGGTAGTGGGGTTTTGGCCAAAATATAGATAGGAACACATGTGTCTCTATAACTTAACATTAACTTTATATCAGTTCATCAGCTTGCCTGAATTGCACCATATGGTACTCAGCTCAATCAAAAACAATAGTTACATGAACTCTTGACTTGTGCTCCCATGTGTTTTATATCCAAACCCAAGAAATCATACAAATTATAGCTGAAAGACATAAGAGGTTTATTGCCAAAGCAATGCAGAGCATTCCCTACAGGGCTTTTTCATGTGTGCTCTGCATTCTAACTCAAATTACCTGAGCAACAGATCTCCCTGTTAAGAAATCTGTTTCAGTTTTCTAAAAATTTCATGGTCAAGAAGCTTTTCCCACTTTGTCTACAATTATCCCACTATTTTTAATTATACTGTCTGTGCAATACTAAGCAATAATTTGAATTTTGGAGTTTATGGCCTTCAGGTATTGCGATTATTTTAAGATGTTTGTTATGTTATATGCCATTCTCTAAGCCAGGATAGCAAAATGTACAAGCATGCAGTAACTTCTAAATAATGCTGCTGATTAATTCCACTGCCACTCTTGTTCTATTTTTATTTTTCTTTTTTAGTTGTAGTTCTGCTAGTAAAGAATTCAATGAACAACCTTTCATATCTGAATGATTTCAGAAAAATAATTTATTTTTTTCTATGTTAGGGAAAATCTAAATCACTCTTAATACTTTTTGGTGTTTGGGTGATGACAGTTTTAACAGCAACCAGCTTATCATTACTACTGATATGGTTTTTGTGGAAATGCAGAAATTCATTTGTGCTGGAGGATGTGCTTAAAAAGAAACTTTAAATTGAAAACAAAATAACGAAAATATTCTAAAATAAAAATATTTTTTTCTAATTCAAGAAAAAATGTTTTTAATGAGCCCTATTTTGTATGAACACAGAAGAATCTTGCTTCATAAACATGCCTGATTCTTTTTGAGTTACAGTCCTTTCTGGAACAGCTGATATTCTTGATACATCCAGCAGAGGAAACAGAGGTTGGGTAGCAATATTTTTTCCTTTAAGTTTAGTCCTGGCAGCAATGAAAAAGAGTGCTGCTGTCATTACAATCTTGTTTTTCATTTCAGTGCCACATCGGCATACTTCTAAATCCTTGATCCTTAATATGGAAGAATCATCCATCCATCTATATGTAAATATATAGGTATGTATGTATGTATACACATACATGTATATCTGCATGCAATGGATAGTATTTGTGGGCAAATGCTCCATATTCTTAGAAAGCAAAAGGTATTTGATAATTTATTATATTTGGGAGATGCTGTATTTTAGCTTGGACAGTACATTAATGAGATTTTTGTTTATTACTGCTGAAAATTAACAGTTTATCCTTGCAGAAAGGTAAAAATTCTTAGGTTGGTAAAATTTTGAACGCGTCTTTTATTTGAAGACGTGCAAATTTTGGCACATAGACTATTATTACTACAAAAGCTATCTCAAACATCTATCCATCTAAGTTATGCCTGTGTGGGTGTAATAGGAAAACCTGAAGAACAATAGAAGACTTTTACACACGCTTGCTGTAGTCATTCTTACTTTGGTTGTTACTGCTATGCAGGCTTGGGGAGGTGTGTCCTTGAAACTATCAGGTCAGTTCATGGCTAGAACATAAGAATAATTGCAGAAAATATGTATGAGCATCCATGAATAACCATGATGATAGCTACATCTGCCACTGCCTGTTGAAAATTAAGTATAATGGTTAATTAGTCTGGAATTGAGAGTCCTTTTATATACGCACTGTAACAACTTTAGTCAATACATTGATGAAGGTTTGTGTAGTTAACAGTTCCTTCCTTCTCAAAATAAAGTAATTTTCTAATAGGGAGGCTGGGGAATTCCTGAGATGTCTCTAAATAAGTTGTTCTTAATGTTCTCGGTGTGTTTGGCATAAAACTGGATTTTTCTGGTTTTTACATGATACTGAATCAAGTTCTGCATATGAGGTTATACAAGCCTGTCATTCTTTCTTTAAGTAAATAAAAGTTTCTGGTTTATTTTCTTTTCCTAGAAATTGTGGCCTCTCTGTTTAAGACCTGAAAGTGTTTGGAGAATGCTGGCTCATGTCATATCTAATGTGAAATTATTTTTCTCACGTTTTGTTGTACAGTATATGCCGTAAGTTTCTCTCAGTTAATGTAGAACCATCTGACTTAATAGCCCGGTCTTACACCTTTATGTTTCTCCATATGAGAAAATAGTGTCTTTACTCCAGATCATGCCTTTTTCCATATACCCTAAGTATACAGTCATTGGGAAAGAAGGAAAATTCAAATTCATATCTTGCAGAAAAAAAAATTGTTTCATGGTCATGAATTTGTTTGTTTTTCCCTATCTAGGGTCAGGTGAGACAAAGCTATATTTTCAGATGTGTTTGCTGGGGGTACAATGCCTAGGTTAATTTAGCATTAATTTTTTGAATTCCCAGATTGCCTAAGAGCTCATGCCATGAGAATCAGCAATATTAAGTACTGTCAAGAATGAAACAGAAAGGATCATGTATTCCAGATATTCATCATTTATGTGCTTTTAAACAGCCATGAACTAAACTGTCTTTAAATTTGTATTTTTAGTGTTGTACAATCAAAAGAACTCTAACAAGAAAAACAAGAATGAGCCTACTGTGCACGTCTCTAGACTTCCTCTTTCCTTACTTGGACAGCCAAATAAATGAGTGGAAAAATGGTAGGAAAAAGATTAATATGGGCTGCTGGAGATCATAGCTGGTGACTATTTAAAGCCCACTTCAGAAAATTTTCTATTGCTCTAAGAAAATACTGTGTTTCCTTAGGAACAAATTTGATATCAAACAGAATCAGATCTGGGGTAAGTTTCTGGAGTAGCGTTCATCAGCCTCTCCTCTGCTGATGTAAAACAAATCAGCGTGCACGTCTCTGCTGTTTCTTGATAATGCTTAAGAGCACTTCGGTGTGGTAGCATGCTTCAAAATTGTATGCTGTGAATGTTTTAGAGGTGTAAGATTTTCAGCTGGTTGGTTTTCAAAGGCAAACCACTATGGACAAACAATATACATGTGTCTTTGAAGGAGACTGTATACATTAATAAAGTGGGGTGTATTATGTCTGTGGACAGGCACCAAATATATAAAGTTTAAGGCAAATGCATGCCAAAACAATTACTGAAAGCTGAGACATTAGTTATTTTAAAATTTACTCATTTGAGTATTATGGAGAAAATATTCAACATATATATTTTTTCAGAGTAAGATATTTGGGCTATGCTCTGCAGGTGTATAATGAAAAATGAACAGTGGAGCACATAGAAATGCTTTTAAAGAACATTTGATTTTATATAAGCATATAACGTCTCCTAATATTTCAGAGATACAGTTTTTTATTATTATTGTTGTTGTTAACAACAGCAGCAACAACAGTAATATTTTTCATTTTATGTATTTTCCAAAGTTTTCAGTCCATATGAATCATAGTTTTGAGTTCCTTTGCTGTGGAGCAGCTCTCTAACCAAGCAGTAGAGGGCATTCTTTCTTTAGGAGACAGAACTAGTTCCTTCGAAAGACTAGTATTTTATCCAGGAAGTTGGTGTCCTTGAGGCCTCTTTGTCTTTAAGTACAGGCCGTTCACATGTAGATACTGGAGATAGGATGAAAGGGTAAATTCTTACATCAACTGTACAATATATTGCTTAGGGTTGAGTACTGAGTTACTAAAATTGTATATGTCTTCCATTATTTCATAGAGTATTTCTGGAGAAATGGAAGTTTATATACCTTTCACTCAAATTCATTGCAGCATTTTTCATAAATTCACTTCCCTCTACGCTTCCCTCTGAGCTAATTAATTTGGTATGAACAAACAATTATCCTATAAAAGCTTTTTTAATAGTACTTACAGCAAACTACTCATAATCCACTTAGTTATATACACCAACCTGGGTAGATATTTTGAGAGCATATTCATTTTAAGTTGTTGGGGACCTCATTAAAATTCCAATTAGCATATTGTTTCTAATAGGTTTTTACATATTTAAGCCAGCCTTGCTTGTAATTAAATTTAGTGTGGTGTGTTCCTCTTCTACCTGGAAAATGCTATCTCTTCTGGGAAAAATGAGCATTGATGGTTAGACCCCACCCATTCAACATCTGGAGGTTCTCCACTCAGCTGTCTGAAGCCTGTGCAGTCAGAGCCCCACACTGAGCAGCAGTATGTGTGCTGTTTCTATCTATGTGCACTTTAACAACATGAGAAAAACAAAAATATCTGATGCCAGATATTAAAATTACATATTAAATTTGAGGCTGCCTACTGCAGTTAGAATCATGATGTTGCAGCTGAGTATATTAAATAAAACTCTTTCCCAGGGCATTTACCTAATGATTCACATCTGCTATTTTATAATTTTTCTCTAACGTTGCCTGGTCATCAATAGTGTATAACCTCATTGTATGTTAAAAAGAAACACCATGGGAGAAACAATAATTGACAAATACAAGAAGCCCGAAGAGACAGACAATGGAATGTGATCTAATATATCACTACTCTGCTTATGATACATGATTTCATTTGAAGTCTGGTGAGTTATTGTTTTAACTTTGCACAAATTTGGCTTTAGAATCAAACCAACTGTTTTGTTTCTATATAGCACTCCTGACAGACCCTTCTTACAACAGAATTTTTGATCTCTGCTTCAGGATTTTTCTCCAACTTTATGAAAGAAGTTTTACAGACAATATTTTTTTGCTTTAAAAAACCCCAAAACTAACTAAAACAAACACAACACATTAGTGTTTATTAGAAAAAAATAGCAATCAGTTATGAATCAGAAAAAAACCCTTTTGTTCTGTGTGTGAAAGGGGAGAGTCCAGAATCTAATGCCCCTTCAGCTGCCTAATAGTTCTTCTGGTACTAAAAACCTTAAAATAGTTACTTAAGATAATGCCTGCAAATAAAATACTTTTCCAAGTCACTGGACTACCGATTTGCACTATATTTCCTTGATATTTTGATTTTAAATAAACAGGTTTTGCTTATCAGATTCCAGAATCTAACTCTGCAAAGCAATCCATATTTCCAAGGATGACTGTGAGCAGGAAACAAGTGAATTTGGGCACACCTAGATGCCAATTAAGTGTAAAAGAGTGAAATAATCCTGAAAAGTAAGTACCACAGCTTTCTTCAGCTGTAGAATTCTGAAGATTTTTCTGAGGATGGAACTTCTGTAGTTTAGCAGGAATATCTGCCCCATGATTTTCTTCTATATTAATGGGTTGGCAAAGAGAACATAAGAGAAGGGACATTCAAGCTCACAAAAGAGTAATGGCAACAAAAGTTATTCCCAGTTCAAACTGTCATTTTTGGAGAAGGTTCACAGATTTGAAATTCAAAAGGGCTTTTTGTGGAGAAGTAGCCAGAGTGAAGCCCAAAATGAAAACCTCTTTTTTATTCTTTTATCTGTTTGGATTTTTTTAATTTAACCATGAAGAAGGAGAATTATGCTTACACGTAGTTCAATGAAAAGCCCCAATAAGAACTTCTGATGCTAAGCAAGGTGATGAGAGTGCAGAGCAAGACTGGTCAGCCAAGAGAAAGCAGGACCTCTCTGAAAAGTAAAGAGCTGTCAGTTGGGTCATCTGACTCATAGTGTGAAATAATAAAGAATCACAGAATTAATAACATTGGAAAAGACATTTGAGACCATTAAGTCCAACCAATGACAAAACACCACCTTTTTAACCACACCATGGAAGTGAGTGCCTCATCCAGACTTTTCTTAAACACCTCCAGGGATGGCGACTCCACCAACTCCCTGGGCAGCTTACTCCAGTGCCCAGCCACCCTTTCTGGGAAGAACAGAATATGGGTTGGTAAGCTTCATCCTATGACTTTAATCCCAAGTAAGTGGAAAAAGGCTAAGGAGCAGGGAAAGCTCTTTAGACCAGTTGCTGGACTGGGTGAGACGCAGGTGAATTAGACAAAAGAATTCAACACTTATGGGTGTTGGCCTGTTCTAATATCTCATTGCTCCATCTTGGCAGTTTATATTTGAATGAAACAATTTTTTAGGCACTTTTCTCAGTGCTTTTATAGATTCTTAGGAAGTTAGGCAGTAATGTAACATATTTTTCGTATTTACATTTTTTTTATTTGTGCAGAGATAGTTGAACATAGTCTTAAATTGGTCCATGAAAGCCAGTGGGCTGCAGCTGATTTGTTTAAAAACAGAGAAGTAGCCTGGGGTGAGAAGAATATTTAATGCAAGCATCCCAGGTTCTTCATGTTCTTCTTTAAACTGGTGTTTTTCAGTTTAAATTGTGACATACCGCTTTTTTGCTTCAAAGCAGGAAGATTGAAATCTTGACTTTGCATTTAGCTGCCTGACCAGTGAACTTAGGGCTTTGTAGATGCAAAGCTTTGGGCGGAAAGTATTTAACAGATTAACTAGGAAAGGGAAAATTCCCTGATAAATGTCTAGTCTAATGTTTATGGTGCACATCGTAGAATCACAGAATGGCTTGGGTTGGAAGGGACCTTAAAGATAATCTCCTTCCATCCCAGCTGCCATGATGTCATGGAGTTACTTTACCTTTAAGGGAGTTGGAGTTGCTGGGAAGTGCTTGGAGCCTTTTCTCCTGACAAATTATCGGTCATTGCTGAGAATTGACAGCAGTTTAGGCCATTGAAAAGTGGGATCAACTTGTGAACCCTACCTTAAAATGTAAAAGCAGAGCTCTCTGGGTTCTCTTTGTTTTCTGGCTGTGGAGGGTGGCGGAGCCGCAGGCCTTCCATTCCCTGCCCAGGCCATGCGGCCGGGCGGGGA